TTTTGAAAAGATCATCAAAACTGGACAAAACTTTAGCTGAGGTAATTAAGAAAAAAAGAGCAAAGACTGAAATAAATATAATCAGAAACAGAAGACATTACAACAGATGCAACAAAATTAAGAGGATTATAAGAGACTCCTATGGACAATTATACACCAACAAATTAGATAACCTAGAAAAAATGGATAAATTCCCAAACACATAAAACTTACAAAGACTGAATCATGAAGAAACAGAAAGTCTGAACAGACCTATAACTAGTAAGGAGATTGAATTAGTAATCAAAAACCTTTCAACAAAGACAAGCCCAGGACCAGATGGTTTCAGTGGTGAATTCTACAAAATATTTGAAGAAGTATTAGCACCAGACTTGCTCACACTCCTCCAAAAATTGAAGAGGAGGGAGCACTTCCATACTCATTTTATGAGGCCAGCTTTATCCTGATACCAATGGGCAGAAAAAGACACTAAAAGAATGGAAACCTGAATTCAACAGGACATTAAAGGGATCATATACCATGACCAAGTGAGATTTCTCCCTGGGATGTAAGGATGGTTCATTGTACCAAAATCAATCAATGTGATATTCTATATTAAAGGAACAAGGGATAGAAATCAAATGATCATCTCAATAGATGCAGAAAAAGCATTTGTCAAAGTTCAACACCCTTTCATGATAGAAACACTAAATAAACAGGAATAAAAAGAAATTACCTGAACATAATAAAGGCCATATATGAAAAGCCTGCAGCTGACATTAAACTCAATGATGAAAAACTAAAGGTTTTCCTTCACAATTAGGAAGAAGACAAGGATGCTCACTTTTGCCACTTCTAGTCAACATAATACTAGAAGTATTAGCCAGAGCTGTTAGGCAAGAAGAAATAAAAAGCATTCAAATCAGAAAGGAAGAAGTAAAATTATCTCTGCAGGTGACATGGTCTTGTATGTAAAAAATCAAGACTTCGGGCCGGCCCGGTGGCGCACTGGATAGTGCGCCGCTTGGGAAGTGTGGCGGCGCTCCCGCCCGAGGGTTCGGATCCCACATACAGACCGGTTCCCGCTCACTGGCTGAGTGAGGCGCGGGAGCAGCACCGAGGGTTGCGATCCCGTTGCCGGTCCCCGGTCCGGTACAGGGGCAACACTGAGGGTTGCGATCCGTTGCCGGACACGGAAAAAGACAAAAAAAAAAAATCAAGACTCCACAAAAGTACTGTTAGAACTAATAAATGAATTCAGTAAAGTTGCAGGAAATACAAAACCAACATACAAAAATCAGTTGTGTTTCTATGCACCAACAATGAACTATCCAAAAAGGAAATTAAAAAAGCAATTCATTTACAATAGCACCAAAAACAATAAAATAGATAGGAATAAACTTAACCAAGAATGTGAAAGACTTGTATACTAAAAACTACAAAATATTGGTGAAAGAAATCAAAGACATAAGTAAATGAAGACATCCTATGTTCATGGATTGGAAGACAATATTGTTAAAATGTCCATATAGCCAAAGCAATCTATAGGTTCACTGTAATCCCTGTTAAATTCCCAGTGACATTTTTTACAGACATAGGAAAAACAATTCTAAAATCTATATGGAACCAAAAAGAACCCTGAATAGCCAAAACAATTTTGAGAAAGATCAAAGCTGGAGGCCTCATGCTTCCTGATTAATCAAAACAGCATGGTACTGGCATAAAGACAGACATATAGGTCAATGGAACAGAATACAGAGACCAGAAATAAACCACTTGTATATAGTCAAATGGTCTTCAACAAGGGTGTCAAGACTACACAATGGGGAAAGAATAGTCTTTTCATCAAACGGTGCTGGGAAAACTAGATATCCACGTGCAAAAGAGTAGAATTGGATACTTATTTTACACTATACACAAAAATCAACTAAAAATGGATTAAAGACTTAAACAAGAGACCTGAAACTATAAAACTCCTAGGAGAAAACATAGGGTAAAGAATCTTCATAACATTTGTCTTGGCAAATTTCTGAGATAAGATCTCAAAAACACAGGCCACAGGCAGCAAAAGCAAAAATAGAGAAGTGGGACTACATTAAACTAAAAATCTTTTGCACAGCAAAGGAAAATCAACATAGTGAAAAGACAATCTGCAGTATGGGAGAAACTATTTGCAAACCATATATCTGACAAAGAGTTTATATCCAAAATATGTGAGTATAAGGAACTCCTACAATTTCAGTAGCAAAAAAACAGATAACCAAATTTAAAATATAGGCAAAGGGCTTGAATAGATATTTCTCCAAAGAAGACATACAAATAGCCAACAGGTATATGAAAAGGTGCTCAACATTGCTAATCATCAGTGAAATACAAATCAAAACCCCAGTGAGATATCACCTCATACCTATTAAAATAGCCATTACAAAAAATAAAAATAAAAAACCACCAGAAAATAACAAGTGTTTGCAATGATGTACAGAAATTGGAGTCCTTATGCACTATTGATGGGATGTAAAATCATGCAGCTGCTATGAAAAACAGTTTGGAGTTTCCTCAAAAATTAAAAATAAAACTACCATATGATCTAGCAACCTCATTTTTGCGTAAGTATCCGAAAGAATTAAAATCAGGATCTACAAGAGATATTTGCATTCCTATGTTCACTGCAGCCTTACAATAGCCAAGAGGTGGAAACAACTTAAAGGTCCATTGACAGATGAATGGATAAAGAAAATATGGTATACACATGGAATACTATTCAATAATAAAAAAGAAGGAAATCCCGTCATATGCTACAGTGTTCTCAAGAACCTTGAGAACATTATGTTAAGTAAAATAGGCCAGGCACAGAAGGACAAATATTGCATTATTCTACTTATATAAGGTATTTGTAGTAGTCAAACTAACAGAAGCAGAAAGTAGAATGACGGTTGCAAGGGGCTGGGGGGAGGGGGAAACGGGGAGTTACTATAGAGTTTCAGTTATGCAAGATGAAAAAGTTCTAGAGATCTGTTGTACAACATTGTGCTTATAGTCAAAAATGCTGTAACATACACTCAAAACTCTGGTAAGAGGGTAGATCTCAAATTATGTTTTTTATCACAAGTAAGGAAAAAGCCTATGCGAGTGGGGTCACAACTACAAATGTCTGCAGGGCCAGGCCAGTACCGTAAGTGAGTAAAGCTGGGCAGGTGAAAGAGTGAATATAGAGTGCAGTGTGCTCTGTTGAACTGGAAAGCACGTGTCCTGAGTAAGGGATCAGTCACCACTCACTCCAGCTAATTGCAGCCCTGCAGGGTTGAGGTAGGGCCAGATTTGATTTTCCCAAAGAAGCCACAAAACCTGAGTTTAATGCAAACTGTTTCCATTTTTAATTGAAAATACTTAAAACTCTCTATGGATGATCCCCCCTATTCTACTGCCTAGCAAACTGAAACATGTGGTGTATTAGGCCACAGGATGGTCAGTTTATAATCTCTGTACTAGGAGGGTTAATTTGGCATTTGTATGCAGGATCAATTAGAGAAAGACCAGGGATAGATGAAGTAATTAGGGGCTTCTAGGTAAAAAGCAGTGAATGCCTGAACCAGAACAGAGGTAGGAGAAATACAGATGGGAGAGCAGAGTGAGTTGGAATTGAGAACACAGACTGGCAGGAGTGAGTGGTCAGCTGATTTGGCATGGAGTGGGGATGAGATAGAGAAGATAAAAACTTTTTCAAGGTTTGGAGCCTTTTGAGAGTAAGTTGGAGCCATGTGCCCTTCTCCTCTAAATCCTTGAAGGTGTATTTACTAATAACAGGGATATTGTCTTCCTTAGCCATAACACAGTGATCAAAATTGGGAAATTTAACCTTGATGCAATACCATTATCTAATTCATAGTCCATATTCAAATTCTATCAATTATTCCAATAAGTATGTGTGTTTTTAATAAGCTGAAAACTAGTATCTAGACTGAACTCAAAGAATCCCTTGTAAGAGAGCTAGCAGAATTACATAACAAGGTACTCTCTGGCTGCATGCCATTTCTCTCCTGGGTGGTTCCCAGCCAGCCTCCAAATAGGAGCATATGTATGACCAGGCTACCAAGACACCATGAATAGTAGTAATGTATGTCTTCTGTCCATGCATTCATTGGGTGAGGATACAATAATACTAGGGAGGAAATTCCACAGGAGAAGGCATGACATAGGAAAATTGAGTTCCTTTGACATGCAGACAGTAAGTTCCATGCAACAAATATTTATGAATAAGCTTCTATGAAGTCTGTGGGAGGGAAACATGAATGCCTATTAGAAAGCTCCAAGGAAGCTTCTTGGAGGAGACAGGATTTGTGTTGACCCTCCAAGGAGAGGTAGGACTTCTCCAGAAGGGCCTGGTACCTGCAGAGACAGGGTAATATGGAAGCACTCTGCTTTATAGAAGGTAATTGTAATCCTGGGATTCACGCTTGTATACAAACCAGTTAAATATTTATAGAAATGGTGACATAATAGAATATATCAAACAGTAATATTGCAAAGAGGTTGGTTGAAAATTTGGATGGGGTAACAAGTGTTTACCATTTTCCTAACCTGTGAGAATAGTTAAAAAATGTAATGGGGAAGGGCCGGCCTGGTGGCGCACTGCTATAGTGCGCCGCCTGGGAAGCGCGGTGGCGCTCCCACCGAGGGTTCGGATCCCACATACAGACCGGTTCCCGCTCACTGGCTGAGCGAGGCGCGGGGGCGACACCGAGGGTGGCGATCCCGTTGCCGGTCCCGGTCCGGTACGGGGGCGACACTGAGGGTTGCGATCCGTTGCTGGACATGGAAAAAGACAAAAAAAAAAAAAATGTAATGGGGAATGAGCAAATTGTTTACTGAGGGATACAGCGTTGAAAAAAGTACTTTTTCTTTTCCTTATTCAGCAAAATATCTACTTTAGGGATATGTCTGGTTTTTCCCTCCTGATTTTCTACATCTTCCAGTAGAACTACTATTATTTAATCTAAATGTATTTGTACTTCCTTTTCAAGGTGAGGACCAAGGATCATGTATTTGATAATGTCGGCCACCTTATCAGATACCATATGGATAATAGTTTGCCAATCATCTCTTCTGGAAGCGAAGTAAGCCTTAAACAACCAGTGAAAAAAGATAATAATTCAGGACTTTTGCATTCCAACAAATGACAATATTGAAGCACCTTCTCACTGATATTTCAAGAAACTCCATTTTGTGTTAGGATACAAAGATAATTCGAACTTTGTTTCTAGATAAAATAGAGTACAAATTGTAAAGTGCATCTTTCTGAGACCATCAAGGACTAGGTAGGTCCTTTACAAAACAAAGAACTAACAAAAATTGATCTTTGGAAAATGAAAATAAGAGAGGAAGAGGACTGGTTCATTTGAAAAGAAATTATACGTGTGCACGGATATCACTTTTTAAGGTCATGTTGCATTGATAACAAGCTAAAAGCACAATATAAATTTCACATGCTAAAGACAACTTGAATGAACTGCTAGGGCAGTAGTATGTGCCTTTCAACTTGATAATTTGGGGACATTTTGATATTGGGGAGATTAGTTCTAAGTGTCATCATGTTCTATAACTACAGAACCATTTGCCAAAAAAACAAAAAAAAAAAGGTTTTTCTTGCTACAAAAAAAAGAAAGAATTTGCCTGATGGTGATTTTTATTACATTTTTTGTTTAGTAGCATTTTTCGCTGCAATGTTAAAATAAATATGACATTGAATTCAGACTGTGTCTATGCCAGTGGAATCAGATCAAAAGCCACTGAATGTGCTGGTATGTTTTATTGGTCTGTCCCATCTGCTGGTTGAAGGGTTGGGGCTCAGATTCTCTGGCCTAGTATTTCTCAATCTTTGCTATTCAGACTGTTTATAGCATGTGACAAACTGAAGAGGCCAAATTTAGCAGTCATTTCTTATTTCATCATATTCTCTCCTGACTCCCCACCAAAAAAAAGCACATGAGTACATGGATATAAAGACAGCAAACAAAACCTGTATTCAATATCCAAATTGGTTCCATTCTTCTTGAAAGTACAGAATTTATTTGGAAGTACAGGGGAATTTCCTCTTGACTGGTTGCCACTGAATCATAGTCTCTCACCTACATGTACTGTTGGCACCTTTTCTAGGTATGATCAGACAAAATGCAGGAGGGAGAAAACTTATTGAATGAAACAGTTGAAAAGATTTGCCACATGTAGACCAGCTGGTAACTGATAGCGTAATGAAGCATTGTGTAGAGAAAAGCACTAGGCTGGGGCTCCTCAGTGTGATCTTGGGCAAGTTTCTGAGCCTTCCTGGATTCCATTTTCCTTGTTTATAAAATCAGGGAGCTGGGCTAGGTGAATTCAGAGGTCTACTGCAGTTCTAACATAGTATGAGTTTATAAAAAGCAAGTTTTTTGTTTGTTAGGGGTCAACCAATCTGTATAGTTAAGTTAAACAATTCAGCTTTTTTTCCTTAGACTGTGTCTATGCTCACAGAATGAATGGCACAAATGAGATCAACATTCACATAATTCTGACCCCAAGCCTTTCAGTTTAAAACACTGAATCTTTGGAATAATACAGGTAATGATGGTAGAAGTGGATTTGGTTTGGTTTGAGTAGCAGAAAACAGCCTCACTCCTTTACTTGCCTTTTCATTTAGAGGTATGGCCGTTCTGTAGAGTGTTTTTTTGTTTGTTTGTTTGTTTGTTTTATCCTGAGTTATCTGGACAATTGCCTTAACTTCATTTCATTTTGGTTATGTAGATACAACTTAATCTTTGTAATTGTAATATAATTACTAAGTTTTAAATAAAATATGGGAAACTTCTTTTGGATTGAAATCATCAGAAACCAAGTTCGTTAAACTCTCTCTTTTATGTAAAGGCTTATGATTTTATTTTATTTCTATTACCATTGATTTCTTGCATAGGTTTGTTTTCTTTTATACAACTACGAAATTATGTATTTTTCATCAGTTTTCCAGATGTTTTAGTTCTTGATCATCTGTCCTCATAAAGGGGATTATCAATAAAAACCTATGGGTAATCTAACCACTTTCATCAGAGACAGGACAGGGCTGTGGTCTCAGTCTGGCTGAGCAGTGTTAACTGGGTAGCAAGAAAGAGTTCCTAATGCAAATAGATGCAGAGAGTATAAGTGGTGTGAGCACTACACGTGGAGAATCAGTATTTGACTATAATGGTATAGTAGTTAGATAAGCAAGTACTGCACTTACAAATACCACAGACACAGTTAAAACAAATGAAACAAAAGAAATATCTGCATGCTATTTTAATCTCACATTCTTATCTTCATCTGTCTTAAAGTGGAAATTCATTTGCCTATAAATACCTGTAAATGACTTTCTAAAAAAAAAATAAATGATTATTGCTTTGTGACAATTGACAGTATATGGCTGGTGTTTGGGATTTGGAAAATGTATCATTTGAAGGTGTATTGGGGTCCTGGCAGGAAACATGTGGCTCACTCAAATTGGGTAATTCGAGGAGAGTTTAATAAAAGGACTATTTACAAAGGTGTGGGCCAGGGTATAGAGAAACTACAAAGGAGAATGCAGTGCCCTGTGGGGTGGAGGGAGCAGTTATAGAATCTGGAGAAACAATTGTGTGCAAAGACTGCCTTTTAGGAGGGGCCTGTAGTGGAAGGATGCCATTAGCCTTGGTGACTCAACAGAGGTGGCTAGGGGCATTAATAACCTGACTTTTTCCTGCCCCATCTCCCTGATTTCTGTTGGGATTATCTCCTGGCCCAAGCAACTTGAAGACAGAAAGCAAGGAAGCTCCTTGATGCAGTCCTGAAGGTCAGCCTCCTGGGGCACACAGGAGGATGAAAAGGGTGGAGAGGGGATCTGCAAGGGTAAACAGAGTACATCCAGTACAGAGAACTTTTTTTTTTTTCCTGTGGCTGGCTAGGATGGGGATCTGAGCCCTTGACGTTGGTGTTCAGTACAGAGGACTTTGAAGATAGTCAGGCTTCTAAAAGCATCAGAGAAGGGTTGGATTAGCCAGTAAGGCAAAGCTAATTTGCAAGCAATAAGTGCATATTTTCAGGTGAATCACAGCAAAAATGTCACGATGTTTTGAGGTGTTGATTATTTTGCTTAAAAACAACTTCAGATACGGAGATAATTTTAATCTTCAGCCTTTATGCTTCTTGCAAGTCCTACTAATCTTGCCATTATTTATCTTGTAATTATAGAAAAGTAATTAATCTGACCCTGCTACTTCTTATGATTAGAATTATAGATCCACATAGGTTACAATATGAGATCATTTCTTACAATGTGAAACATACCATCTACACCTGTGGAAAACATTTAAATATCCACATACTAGTGCTAAAAATGAATTGTTACTTTAATCCCTTTGAGCTTCTTATACAAGGTAAGGAAAGGCTCTTTTCTTAGTTGGTATGCTCCTCCTTGCTCTAGTTATAGGCACTTAATCTCTCTGTAGTTTTTCATTGTCCTACTAATGGGACAAATAGCCTTATTAGTGTGGGAATGAAAGACGTAATTATTACAGACCCTAAAAACATCAAAGGAATAATAAGGGAATGCTACCCATGGTTCGACACATAAATTTGACAACTTTGATGAGTTAGGCCAATTTTTCAAAAACCATAAACTACTGCAATTCACCCAATATGAAATCGATCATTTGCACCTCAGGGCCTGCCCCAGACCTGAGGCATGGGGAAGGGGACCAGACACACCCCACAACCAGGCACACCGCCAGCACCAAGAAACATGCCGAAAACATCACCTCCATGTGGGTGGCCCACCACAGCAACCACAATAACCATGGCTGCAGCAAAAGCAGCTAGATGCCATAACCACCACGCAGATGGTCCACCAACCACTGGAGTGCATTGACACAAGGATAGTCACGAGCAGAGATAAAGAAAAGATGTATCTCTCCACAAAGCCCATTTCAGAGTGATAGAAGAAGCATCTGCTCTGTGATAATATTGGGGGAACTGATCATACCTCTCAGCATTGGACAGATCATCTAGGCAACAAATTAACAGAGTGACCTTTATTCTTTCAGAAGGTGAGAAGAAATCTAGGGTAATTAGAGGGCGGAGGGGGGAGGGAATGGGGGAAAGGGAGAGATTGGACAAAGGGCATAAGAATAATTACGATTTGTAACAATATACTAGTAATATTGATTTGGTCAACATATATCAATGTTGAACCCCCAAAATATGTATAATCAATTTTGATTCAATAAAATAAATTTAAAAATAATAATTAAAAAAAAAATGAATAGCCACAATTTTTTAAAAAATTCAATTCACAGTTAAGAACCTACCACAAAGTAAATTCTACGCTCAGATTATTTCACTGGAGAAATCTACCAGTCATTTATAGAATGTCAGTGCTGTGCAATCACTTTTAGAACATTAAAGAGAAGGGAACACTTCCCAATTCACTTTTTGAAGCTAATATTACTCTGACATCAAAACCAGACAATGACAGCACAGAAAAAGAAAACTACAGATCGATATCCCTCTGAATAAAGATGCAAAAATCCTTAACAGAATATTAGCATGTAGTATTCACCAATATATTAAAATAATTATACAACAAGACTAAGTGAGGTTTATTCTAAGCATACAAGGCTGGCTCATTGTCTGGAAGTCAATCACTGTGATCTACAAAATGTTGATGAAGGAAATAAAAGAATATCACATATCAACAATCTAAAGAAGAAAAATCATATCATATCAATTGATGCAGAAAATGCATTTGACAAAATTAAACATCCATTTAGGATTATAGAAAAAACAAACTTCTCAGAAAACTAGAAATAGATAAAGAGCATCTACAAAAAAACCTGCAGCTAACATTATACTTACTAGTGATGGCCTGAATCCTTTCCTCCTAAAATCAGAAACAAGGAAAGGAAGTCTGCTATCATGACTCGTAGTCAGCATATTTCTGGTAGTGCTAGACAGTCAATAAAGCAAGGAAAGGAAATAAAAGTCATAGAAGATCAGAAAGGAAGAAATAAAACTGTTCCCACTTGCAGATGACATTGTCTATATCCAGAATCCCAAGGAATCTACAAACAAATAAACAAACAAAAAATCCCCAAACTTCCAGAACTAATAAGCTTAGCAAAGTTCAGAGGACACAAGATAAACATACAAAATTCAGCTATATTTCTGTATTCTAGCATGAACACATAGACACCAAAATTAAAAATGCAATATCATTTATAGTTTTTCAAAAAAATATGTAATACATGTAAATCTAACAAAACTTGTACAGGTCGCATGCTGAAAACTACAAAATGCTGATGATGGAAATTAAAGAATAAATAAATGGATAACCATGTTCATGGATTGGAAGATTCAACATAGTAGAGACATTTATTCTCCCCAAATTGATATACAGACTTAATGCATTTCCTACCACAATTCCAGCAAGACTCTCTGTAGGTATAGACAAGATTATTCTAAAATTCATGTAGAAAAGCAAAAGAACTAAAGTAGCTAACACAATTTTGAAAAAGAAGAACAAAGCAGAAGGAATCAGTCTATCTGATTTCAAGACTTATTATACAGTTATAGTAATAAAGACTGTGTTGTTGGTAGAGGAATAGACACATAAATCAATGGAACAGAATAGAGAACTAAGAAAAAAAACCACTCAAATATGTTCAATTGATTTTTGACAAAGATGCAAAAGCAACTTATAATGGATGAAGAGGAGCATTTTCAACACTTGGTGCTGGAGCAATCGAACATCTGTGGGCAAAGCAATGAACCTCATACTTTATATAAACATTAAGTCAAATGGATTATGGACTTAAATATAAGATGTAAAGCTTTAGGAAAAAACATAGGAGAATGTCTTCGGGATACATAGGGCTAGACAAAGAGTTCTTCAACTCCACACAATCTATAAAGAGAAAGACTGGTACATTAGACTTCATCAAAATTGCAA